TGCAGTGCTGTTCTCCTGCGTAATTTTCTCCCTTAATCGGCTCTTACGACACCTATGGGTGAATAGGGGTCGCGATACTCCGTATTCTTAATCCGTCACCACACGGATAGCGGTAGGTATATACATGCTTTATACCGAGTCATTTTATTTTATCACATTCTCTTCCATGCCTATAATTTGATACGTGTCCCTACTATTAACATCATTTAGAATATTCTGTTAGGAGTATGAGATGGAAGAACAAGTAAATGACAAGGAAAAATTACAAATAAATTGCTTAGTAAGTTCTTTTCTTTCTGAAGTTCTTTCTGAAAAAAGACAACTCCCGCTTTAGGAAAATATCCTGTGTCGCGGGGGACTTTACAAACATACATGAAACGGACACAAATAACACCCAGACTTGGAACAACAATTTGTGGATCACACAAAGTGTCGTCCCATGTGGGGTTTGAACCCACAACACTCATTACACTAAGTATTTTTTCCAATCAGATTACATCACCAATATTGACAAGAATGTCCGAATTTAAGACACATATAAAGTTAAACATATCGGGTGCATTTTATTATTTTAACTTTCCAAAAGTCGAAGCATACTTGCGGGTGAACCACTACCTATTAATTTGAGTTCGGCATAAAGGGAATGCTAATAGCGGCCATATGCGGCACATACCTTGTGGGAATGAATCATAACTAAAAGAGCGTAGGAGATGGACCGAACCGACTTATTTATTGCCGTTTTTGAACGAAACGACTGACCAAAGACAACGGCTATGGAGTTATTGTTTTACATAACAATCTGGTGGCACTTTTATGGGTAACAATCGGTTTTGGACATAACCAAGTGAACATCAAAACGAACAAACTTTGATTGTTTTGGTTGTTATAATCTGTTTTACTATGTTTTTAGCTAGAGTTGTTATGTCCACATTGATTAACTTATAACATCTATATTGGTCTACAATAAATAGCTGTTTCGAGGCCTATTTGTACGTAAGTATCGTCATAAGGAGAGGCCTATGTCCAGCAGTGAACTAGTATAGGCTGTTGATGATGATGATGATGATCGTCATAAAACTTTTCTTAATACATGTACGGTTAAATTTTATCGAATAGAATTACATTAAATTTGAAATTGTTTGGGTATATAGATTTATTGTACAAAAATGTACCTAACATTTTTCAATCTTCTGGTACTACGTTCAGGTTGCACTGGCACTGGAGACATGCTGTCTAAACTGGTCAAATCATCAGGGATGTCAAAAGTTTTGTGCATACCTAGTCTTCTGTAGTAGTTAAAAAATGTTACGTTGAATGCAGGTGACGTTATAATTAATTGTTTATTCAAACTTATACATAATATAATGCTGCCATATCCAGCATCCGTTGCATTGCTTGGTAAAAAGTGGTTGTATAAAAGTTTGAGAGCTTATGAAATTATCATTATCATCTTTATTTATAGCCTCTAATAGTCCACTGCTGGAAATGGGCCTCTCCTTAGAAAGATGGTCTTGACCAACTATAACACGCTAGCCAGACGGGTTCGTGGAGGGTTTGTTTCAAGTTTTCCTTCTTTTTGCAGTGCTGTTGTCTTGCATAGTTTGTTGCCTAAGTCGGCTCTTACGACACCCACGGGACGAATAGGGGTGGTGACACTCTGTATTCTTAATCCATCACCACACGTACAGGAAATAATACTTTTATAATAAAAGGTAGGTTTAGTTCAAAAGCTTAGGAATCCATACAAGACTCACACACTAACATCTATTTTCATTTATACATTTCTATTCCTATATAATAGCAAACTTACTTAGATGACCAAAAATGATGGCTGGTAGCTCAGATAAAGCAGCAGCACGTAACATTGAATGTTTTCTTCAAATTAACCACAAACGGAAACATGAGTATTTATGTTTGTGGTTTTTTGGATATTCAGAAAGTGATTCACCAATTGAAGTTAGTGATACTAGCGGAACTGTGGCCACTATTTTAACAGGTTTGTACATCTTATGAAGCCATGTCTTATTAGATCAGACGTAGTTTATAATAACTACTACACTACTTTGTTGTAATAACTTTCTGTGTGGTGACGGATTAAGAATACGGAGTGTCACCACCCCTATTCATCCCGTGGGTGTCGTAAGAGTTAATTAAGGGAGCAAACTACGCAGGACAACAGCACAGCAAAGAGAAGTGCAAAGAGAAGGAAAACTTGACACAAATCCTATACCAACCCGTCTGGCCGGCGTGGTATAGTAGGCCAAAACCTTCTTTCTAAGGAGAGGCCTATGTCCAGCAGTGGAATTTTAATGGTTGTTGGTGATGACGATGACTACACTACTTGGGAATTAAGCCAGTCAACCTGTGAACACAGTCAGTACAACCTGGTCGAAGTGTCAGACAATTCTAAGGTATATAACACCTATTAGGTGACTGCGATAATCTTTTTGTTTATTTTTTTGGGAAGAGCGGACAAACGAGCAGATAGATGATAGCAAGCGCCTACCGCCGCCCATAAACGCCTGCAACTCAGGAGTCACAAAAGCGCGTTGCCGGCCTTAAGGCGCTCTTTTCTTGAAGGTTTGAAGGTCGTATCGGTCCGGAAATACAGAATACATTAACTTGTTTTACAGGTTGGTAGTGTAAGGCAAAAAGTATCTTGAAAAGCACGATCAAGAAGGTCACAGTGGTGGAGTGCCAATTATCCAAGTGGTTGGGAAGTAATCTCTCCTAGGACTCTTCGACATCCGGTCCCATCCCATCTTAGACTAAATTATTTAATACGCATTGTGCTCGTCTACATACATAACCTTGCCGAAAATCAGATGAATAAGAGCATAGTATAGTTTGGATCTTTTTATTAACTCAGAAATGTCACAGTACTTAGATACTTAGATGAGGGCACAGTCTTACATCTCTATAATAATTTAAAATAACAGAAAGCAACTCGTTATATTTGTTCAACGGTGCCTTCAAATCGAATTTGTTTACCCACCGACATATTTCGCTGTGCGAGACTACTTGACACTGCCCATACATGGTTTATTGGTAGTGCACATTTCTGTGATAATAGCTGGTGCAAATATACAGGATCGGGTTGATCAACATGACATACATACTGACGCAAATTGTTGAGGACAAAGTAAACAGACACCACCTATTAAATTGTGACATATGTGAGAACTGTCAAAGTTTAGACTGCCTATTTTGGAAATGCGATTTTTCTCCTCACACGATGACACACGGCCGTCTTAACCCAAGCTAGGCAGAGCCTGTATTATGGTAACCAGACTAGACTCCTAGTGCGAGACTTGTCTTTTAAAGGAAGAAAGAAGGACTGCTGATAAACCTATTTGTATATTTCTAAATCCTTACAAATTGTAGACAAATTACATCCAGACACAGTACGTACAAATGATCGTGATCATCACGTAACTATTTGTCCTGGGTGGGAATCGAATCCATGACTTTTGGCTTAGACCAACAGATTCTACCGAGCGACCAACACCGTCGTGCTTTTTATTATTTCTAGAAAGTTAAGTTAAAAACATCTCCTAGGCAGAACTTTAAAGTGATACGAAGATAGTTCCTTAATTTGTTCATCAAATGTACTAACTCACACGTAACATTATAAATGTTATTAATTCAACTCATGATGTAACCATTACATACGTCATTAGAATTTGTCACAACAATGTTAGCTTGTCCACCCATTGTGACCTTTGATTACCTGTTTTATGTAAATTAATTATAAATTAATCATAAATAAAATAAACATAATATAAAATATCGAACAACATGAAAATTTAAAAATACTGTTCAAAATATCGATTCGATTCGAAACATTATCACAATTTTACATTTTTATACATTTTTTTTATTTTGAAGTTAATCAAGTACAATAAATAAAAATAATTCAGCTAGCATTTAAAACCTTCTATAATAACGATTTAGGTGTTATTAAAAATATAAAAAATGAAAGTACTAGCAAAATTCTCACATAGACCGGAGACACTCGTTTATTATCACAACAAAATTTAGCGTAGAAAATGATCCACTATATCGTCGACAATCATGAATTACACCAACATTGTTCATATATAACAGTTACAAGTTTGTAACAAATCAATACGAGAGCGATAAACTCGCGACCGATAGCGCATCCCCCCCCCCCCTCCCCACCCCCCACTCAACTATCGAACGTACATCAACCTGTATACCGGCAGATGATACCGACCCTTTATCAACAATACTTATAAAAGTTACGCTGTGTAGCAAACTTGAACTATTTATTTATTGACTTTAGTTAGGAAAACCAACAGCTACTAAAATGATCATAGGCAGTTTGATGTACAACATTAAGCCAATTACAGATTTTCACGTATTTAAACATTATAAAGTAACAGAGAATGTGATTGCATAAATATAATTATTTAACCTTTAATTGAGTTAATCGATTAATCGTAAGAAATAAAATGAATGACTTTTACTGTTGGCAGAATAGGCAGTGTACCCATTTTATTTATTAACCAGCTGACCCGCGGTGTTACCCGCGTTTGTTGTTATAACCGCGGGCAACGCCGCGGGGCGAAGCTAGTCTAAAAAAAGTAGCCTAAGTTACTCCTTATGTCATCAGCTATCTGTCAGTGAAAGTCCCGCGTCGAAATTCCAGCCGTTCCAGAGATTACCCGGAACAAACAGACAGACAGACAGACAAAAATTGTAAAAAATGTTATTTTGGCATATGTACCGTGTGCATACATATGCATTTAGTAAAAAGCGGTTATTTTAAAATTACAAACAGACACTCCAATTTTATTTATTTGTATAGATAGATTGTAAAATTGACAATAGTTGGAAACAAAATATATGAAACTATTAGTTTTGGAGACAGAAAATTAGACACATCAACGCGCATAAATTCTCCGAGTACTTATGCACTTAGATAAACTCCGGCAAACTTCAACACACAAGTAAGGATAGAAAAAAGTAATAATCACCTCCGCCTTCAGGCAACATCTGGGACATCCAATTCCGTTTGATAGAACACTTTGTTACAACACGAAACTTTTCATTGATAAACTGTTAAACTGTGAACGTTAGCGAAGTTAAAGCGTGCGCGTATTGTGTTCGCGCACCGTTGAAGTGTGCGCGTGCGCGTTATCAGTGCGAGGGTCGCGGTGGTGGCGGGTGCGCGTGGTGTATACCGCAGCGGAGGCGCTCGGTGCGCAGGAGAGCGGGTGTCGGCGGCGCTCCCGAGTCGCGAGTCGCACTCACTGCGCGCCGCTGCGCCCGCGCTGCTCTAATCTAAATACAGACAACGCGGCCCCAACCAAAATCGCTCGTATTACTTTCGGTTTCCATACGGCCTAAATTTAGAGGCCGCTCGCTACAGAAATAAAAACGTTTTTTACGTGTTTTTAGACGGGAATAGTGAGCGTTTTTGCAGTTGCTGGTGGTGTGCCAGGGACGAGCCGCGCGCGTCTCGCGAAACCCGAGATTCGTGCCATATTTGGCAGGAGCTCGCGCGATCACAAACGCTTTTGGGTATTTAGTTTCTGCGGCGCGGCTGCCAGCGCACTGGCCCCATCCGCACGCGCGATGCGCGCAGCTAATTTCAGCCGCTTCCGTTGCGTTATAATCGCTCACTGATCGGGGATGCATTACCTGCTCACCATGCGCCACTACACTACCATATATGGTATTCTCGTCAATGATGTTGCCCCTCGGCTCTTTATCTTTATAAATGGAACATATCGGCCGATGTAATACCCTGCATACATGTACGTTTTGGCCCATGTGTCCAGCACTAGTCTGCTATCGCGAAATGAATGTGTATGTAAAAATGGAGTTATTAGCGCAAGTCAGTTATTTTAACCTTCTCAATCTCGATTCCTACAAATCTTCGAAAAGATTGATGGGCAGATTTTTTTGTCAACTTGACTTACACAATCTTGTTTAAATAATAATGATTTTGTTAAAAATACAGCACATTATTATCAGTTTATACACCATTGACAAAACATCTTTATTAAACGGAGTTCTTCTTAATTAGTAGTTTTTATATTACATAATACATCAAATTCAAAGTCCATATTTTAATTTAATAAAATTGATTACCAATTATTCGAAATCGTCCATTGCTAATAAGATATAATTTAAATGATGGATCAACACAAACAAAGCCGCCAAAACAATAAGCTGCTTCAAATGTTCATTATCATCATCAGCCTTTAATAGTCCACTGCTGGACATAGGCCTCTCCTTGGGAAGAAGGTTTAATGACCTGGTTTTTTATTTATAACCGCCGTTTCCGAATGGTCGACTCTTGTGAGAAGACCAGAGTAATCGACCACACAAACTCACAGGCACTCAATTAAATCACCAAATAGTTATGACAGTAGTTAGTAAATTGTATTACAGTACAGGCAAAATGAAATAAAAAAGGTAGAACGGGAATCATAATTACTGGAAAATATATTACCTCAAAACTTAAGTTAATTATTGTCAGTTAGACAAAAAGAGAAATCGTATTACCGCAATAAAATATTTTTATTATAACACGCAACTAATTACCACTAGAATATACCTAGAATATTGTGTAACTAAGATTTAAACAATTTAAATGATTAAGCATTACAGGAACACACGTAAACCTTCAGGTTATTTACATAACTCATTAAAAATGCTTTATCTCTATCTGTCGTCAGTTTTAGCTCACAAGATTTGCTGGCTAACCGTTATCTTAAGACCATAAATAATAAATCACAATAAATAAATGATCAAATTGAATAAATATTACGTTGCAATTGCACGCTGTTCACTAAGACTATATGACTCAGTCATTAATTACGTAACAGGCAGGGAAGAAATCGAAAGTAATCTTCTGCGTATCTTACCTACATGAGAAGTTTAAATATATTATACTCGTATATATATTGCTAATGATATTAGTTTTTGATATAGTCATATGTTTATTTTCTCTAACAAGAGAATAAGTTTGAGCGAAATGCGTCGATTGGCAACGTTTCAAAAGCAAAACTATTCAGTATACACCGTTCAGTGGATACCGTCAAAATATAATATGATGTATTTTTATGGAGAAAAATAGTTCAAATTAAGCTATCTTGTCTATTTGTAAGAGGCTCGATGAATTTTGTTTAGTTCTTGTTAAGTTCTTATGTAAATGATGAATCATATTTACAAATGTGTATATGTTACGTTTTGTCTTATTTGGTTAATAAAAAAGGATGTGAATACGCCAACAAGCTTTAATCGAGTGTTATAGCTGTGGACAAATGCTGTCTATACCGCACAAGATTAAGTAGATAAAAAAAACCCTTATTGATTTAACTCCTTTAAAGGTAAGTTATTGGTATACCTACTTATAACCAATATCTTACAGGTGCTTCTAATTTTTTATTATAAATACACACCTTTCGAAATTACTTTAATTTGAATGCCAGAAATTATTTCATCCACGAGCATTATTATAAAATATTGCTCACAGTGACGAAAAGAGTTAATAGCCTAGTGTAGTTTGCACTTATTATGTTAAAATCGTATTATTATTTAATAAAATTGTTCATTAGTATTATTAGATATCATTGCTGTGTAACTAAAAATTTAAAAAAATCAAGAACGTTTCAATATCAACAGTCATAATATTTATTTATTTATTTATTAGGATCTCCTACGAAAGATATACACAAGTAGAAAAACAGTAATAAACAGAATGGGTTTAAAGTCGGTGTACTCCTTCACTTACAGGAGACCACAGCAAGCACAGTGAAAAAATAATAATACCATCAAGCAAGCGAACAAAGTTACAAGCGATGTTTGAAATTTAAATTCTTAAAAGTAACAAAAAATATAATTAAAAAATTGTTTTGATAAAATTTAAAAAATACGAAATAAAACAAAAAATAATAATAAAAACGTTGAGGCTTACATTACATTAAAGCTGTTAAGCATTTCTTTTATTTAGACAAACATAGGCATTTATCTAATTCAGTCGTTTTGGCTAACGTGTTATATTGCCTATTTAAACAATAAATACACAAAAGTAGAAAGGTAAAAAAAAACTGTGAACTCATTTACCTACTAATACTTTTTTTACCAAAGAAAAAGAGAGAGATGACTATTTCACAAGTATTACGTAACAATTCGCTATTAATCTAATCTGTAATGCGACTATCACATACTTAAAACCATAAAAATCCTATAAAAATATAATCAACAAAAACAAATAGTCTTCTATGCAGACAATATACTTGCTATAAATCTCATTATTGTGTTATTGTGCTGTTAAAATTGTGAATAGATACGCAATATTGCGAGTAAACCTTTCACTGCGCGTGCGCAACTGGCATGTCACACCTCCGCAAGTGGTTTCACTTCGCTCCCAGCCACTTTACTTGCACAAATAGTTTTTGTAATATCATAACATGTAATCTAATGAATCGCTCCGAGCTACTTAAAATTAATTTACTGTTTACATTGGCGCAGTGGGAAGTCTTTATCACTATTAGTATAATTTTCATTCTCCCTACTAGGTTATAGTAGGGAATCATAAACCTTTTTCATACTATTAACTTTATTTACTACTAATGATATTTATATACGTGCTGTGAAATCATGTTTAAACAAATTTATCAGTTTCTGATGTCAAATAGTGTTACTCTTTTTACTAACTTTTAAAGTATCGCGTGCCATAATATAAAATTATGTTTACGGGAATTAACACTTTCAAGACGGGTATTAAGTATATACCTTTGAAATGCCTTTTTTTTCTGTGCCGCATGTGACATAGACACCGTATCCAAGGGGATACCCCCCCTTGGATACGGTGGCTATGTCGGGCTCGAAGCGACTAAAAACCGCACGCCGTCTCGGGTACCAGTAACCGGGAAACCAGGTGTACCTTAGAAAGGAAATCCCTGGTACCCCGACGTATCTCGGGCTATCTAACGCGGGTAGATGACCCTCTGCTGTGTGGGAACTCCCATGTTCCCTGTGTACTACCGAAAGGGCGCGAGTGCTCCGCAACGCGTCTCGCCGCCAACCTGGCCTGCACTTATGAAGGACGGAGGTCGACCTTTGAAATACCCGACGTTTCGACCACCGCCAGTTAATTTCAATATAGTTGTTAAAAATTATATGGCAATCCACTCTCTGTGAATAACCCCACATTATTGTTATATTTTTAGTGCCTAGAGTTAATTTTGGCATCCTACGCTAACGTTTGTAACTCATATTATTTAAAACTATTTTCTTGTGTTCTATGTATAGTAACGGCGCCAAATTCCCCGAGCTGTCATACTTTTTCTACTTATCTTTTATAGATCTTGGAAACATAGCAAGGCAAATTGTTTAGCCTCGTTTTATTTTATATATTCTTAAATTAGATAGAAAATGTAAAGTAAATTTTTAGAATCGACTAGATACTGTATAGAGTTTTGAAGAAGATTGAAGATTTTTTTATTTAAGATGTGAATAATTAGACAATTAAATTTTCATTAAGAAGAATTTAGTAAGCCCATAGACATTTACAAAAAGTAGGCAAATGCGGCAGGGATACATAAACAGTAAGAATTAGTAAAAGTAATTGAAAGTGAAAGATATTGTCTAATATTGACTAAGGTGAGAACAGTATCTAGAATGCATACATCACATCAACAGCCTTGAATAGTCCACTGCTGGACATAGGCCTCTCTTTAGAAAAGAGGTTTTGGCCTACTATACCACGCTGGCCAGACGGGTTGGTATAGGGTTTGTTTCAAGTTTTGTTTCTCTTTGCAGTGCTGTTGTCCTGCGCAGTTAGTTCCTTTAGTCGGGATGAATAGGGGTGGTGATACCCCGTATTCTTAATCCGTCACCACACGGAACAATACATACATAACAAAAATGTAATGTAAGAAAAATCAAGATACACATTAAAAATAAACAATATAAAAATAATAGAGTTATCCTGTTTCCACAATTTAATTTAATTAACTTTTGTATGTACGACTGTGTTACTATTTCTTATAACTACCTTCGTACACAATATTCTTAATAATAGTACACAAATTCCAATTTTCAATAGTGTGTTTTTGATCAAGGTCACTGTAATGGAATGGAATCTGTAACAGAATGGTTGTGTGTATTCTTTGGTTGTTGTAATTATTTATTTGTATGGTGTTATTAACACTTGTCTCTGCACTAGGACTCTTTGAAACTGAAATTAATAAAAATATTTAAACACTATTTAGGTAAAAAGGTTTCTTTTATAAAATCGACAACGCCTGTTATCCTACATCGATTTACTACTCATTTTCAACATTCTGTGATCACAAAATTCTTCATGGAATTAATGGACTATAACTTATTTTATAAAAGTCCATTTTTTATCATTTAACGCGTATTCAATTGCTTTAATTTAAAGACGTAGTTTATGTGTGATCCCTAACACTTCCATCAAAAGGTACACAAAAACCAAATGATTCCATCCTACATGAAATGACAAGGTGTGAACGCAACGACGAACCGACAGACTTCATTGAATGACTCCAATTATAGGCATCGTATTGATCTGGTGTCAAAATCCTCCCACACGGGGGACAATAGCCGGTCGGTAATCGAACCCACTCCCCCGCGGTGACAAATGAAGTTAATGTCTAATA